TCCTTTTTTTTTTTTTTTTTTTTTAAATTTAAAAAAAAAAAAAAAAAAAAAAAGGAGCGTTTGGAATTTTCCTGCCCAAGTATCAATATTTCGGTCTGTATCGTTATATACCATGATCCCTGTGTTTAAGGACCGGAAATGTGAGATCTGTCTTTGGTAACCTGGGAAAATACTCCTATTTTTAGGAAATTAGAAGGAAACAATTTAAGATGCAGACATTCTGTTACCTTCTTTCTTTCTCCCTCCTGCACTTACGAACATTCAATTTCTGTGACTATTATTTTTTTTCTCAGAGCATTTTTTAAAAAATTGTTTTACTTTAGTTCCCTCCAATCTGGCTTGAATGAATGCCAGTAAAGCGGATTTTGTAATCAAGTCAGATTTTGAATATTTTAATGAGGAGTAAAGTAAAAGCAAACACTATCTTTGTCATGGTAACATCTGATCTTGTCACGTGTATATATGTAATTTCATCTTTATCTGGAAATAGACGGCTTCATAAAGTTTTATGCAGAGCAATTGAACTCAGAGCAATTTTTAATTAGTGGGAAGTTTAAAAAATATTAGTATGTACACATTAAAAACACCATTTTCAAATAACATTGAAATTAGAACCAGAAAATCTGTGTTGTAGTCCTTTTTTTCCAACAGATGATATGTGTGACCTTAGACAAGTCACTTCCTATACTCTGGTTTTCTTACTAATCAAGTACTTTAGATAAATGACCTCTGAGGTTTCTACCTACTCAATGATTCTGTGATTCAGGTTTCTGATACAGCTGGTTTTTATTTGGGTTTTTATTTTGACAGGTACATAAATAAAGGATAAAGTATTTTATGAAACGGTTCTTCAATCAAGTATAACATTTTGATGCTTGGCATCTAGACTCCTTTGTGCTCTCACTATGCCAGCAGCAACTGTAGATCATAGCCAAAGAATTTGTGAAGTTTGGGCTTGCAACCTAGATGAAGAGATGAAGAAAATTCGTCAAGTTATCCGAAAATATAATTACGTTGCTATGGTATGCCCATGACCAAATTTTTAAGATGCTTCTTATAAAAAGGGAAGAGGGATTTTTAAAGTCTTGAATTCAACTCTTCTGGTTGGTTTTTAGGGATTAATCACATTAAGAAAAATTTGTCAGTGCCCTCCTGCCAAAACCATCAGAACACACCTGTAATTTGATAGGTAGGATTTATTACTCATTGCAGAGGGAAACTGCATTGGGAACCATGGGGCATTGGAGTAAGAGAGTGTTAGAAGGGGCTTTAGGATTTCTGTCAGGTGGTTTTCGGAAGGGATTAAGGAAACAGCTTTGCTGTGGATTGAATGCTGTTAGGAAGCTGGGGTGATTCTGTGATTGGGTATGTTAATAAGTCTTAACAGGAATAAGAAGACAATAGTGTGAGGCTAAAACTGCAGAGAAGCATCAGTCGCTCATTTAGCCAGGATGGGAATAGTTGGTCATTTTTATGGTTTGGACAGTGTTTGGTTTTTTTGCTTGTTCAGACGTAATTACAGAGTGGCCTTGTCTGATAACTGAAGTTCTGTAAAATTTTTTATGTTCAGCAGGAGAACATTTGGGTCCAGCTATGAGTGTCAGGTCAGCTGCTAGCACTAAGGCTTAGCTGGTAGTACCAGATTGTACCAGGTGAGCTCCTAGATACCAGGAACCTCCTGAATATCTTTCTCAAACAAACAAACAAACAAACAAAAATCACATATCTCAGTGAAACATTGTTAGTTTGCAATTTTTCTTTAAATTATCACTGGCGCTCCATGAACACAGTGTTATTAAGCACCTCTGATTTTGCACATGCTATTCAGTCTGCCTAGATTGTCTACCCAGTTATTTTATTTTTTCTTTACAATTGTACTTTGTATATTTGTTGCAGCTTCTCTGTTGTTTTCTAGGTCCACTAGATTATTAGCTCCATAAAAAAAGAGGTCTTAGTCATCCTTTCTCCCCCGAACACCCAACATAACACATACTGTATCCAGTAAAGTGTTGAATTGGTTGTTGAATTTAGATAACTATTAGTTTCTTTACTGTTCATAGTGACTTGATAAATCGCTTTTGTTCTTAGCTAGCTCTAGTTTGAATTCTAATACTAATCTCATATATCATTTTCTCAGTATTTGTAGTACAAGCAAGTAAAATAAGTAAACTTTGGGGAGGGGAAGGTTGGTTGGTTAAAATATGAGTATTTGTGCATAATGTTTTATTTAATAAAGGTGTACTTACCCATAATTAGAATTGGAGTTATTGTCTTATCCAATGGAAATTCATAGTGATCATTCATTTCTCAGATGATGAGTGACAACACTAGAGCAGTGATAACCCTACAGGAATGAGGAAGCGGCATGCAATTCTTGACAACACGCCTACTGTGGACATAGAGAGAATACTGTTTTAGCCAAAGAAATTAGGAAACAAATGATGTTTTTCTTGGAAGATTTTAGTGTTGAGATAAACCTTGTCTCAGAGAAACAATTGGAAAGTACAGTGAATTTTTCATTCATTTTAACCAGGTCCTCAAGAAACTTGGTTTTAGCATTGAAATACTTTGAGCATAATTTCACATAACGTTTGGGGGACATGAATTTATAGTTTGCTTTTTCCCTTTTCTTGGCTATAGAATAAGTACTTGGTTGCATTTATCACATGTGTCCTATACATAGTAATTTTTTGGTATTGTATTTAAAGTACATATAGAATTTTGTGGTTTTAAGAAATAATGCTCTTTCTAGTTAAAAGTCACTTTGTGAACATGTAGAATATCACTTATAACAGGATTCTCTGACTTGCATCAAAAGTTGATTATTCTAGGAATTTGTGGATTGTGGTTGTGACTGTTTAGTAAATAATGAATCTTAAAACTATTTTACAGGACACCGAGTTTCCAGGTGTGGTTGCAAGACCCATTGGAGAATTCAGAAGCAATGCTGACTATCAGTACCAACTATTGCGGTGTAATGTAGACTTGTTAAAGATAATTCAGCTAGGACTGACATTTATGAATGAGCAAGGGGAATACCCTCCAGGAACTTCAACTTGGCAGTTTAATTTTAAATTTAATTTGACGTAAGTGAGAAATAAATATAGAACCTAAACTTTTTTTAGTTTAATTTTAGGAATTGATTTCTGTCAAGTATGGTAAAACTCTAAGTGAATTTGGTGTAGTTATCCTGGAAATATATAAAACCATAAAATTCTAAGAACTTAGGTTTCTTTTTTATTATGGGACAAAACAATTAGGATAATGAAGACTTTTAAATACTTTGATTTTTACAGATGTTATTTTTAAAATATGACTGCCACTTTTTTGGAATTTGTAAAACGGTATTGAAAATACTTCTTGGTTGACAAAATAATCTTACAACATTAGTTTTACTTTCAAACTTTTTGTGTGCAATTTGAAGTGTAGACCTTGTTGTGATATTTATCCTTTTTGTGAGATTTTTATTACAGTCATACTCCAGTTTGTGAGTAGAATACATGTCAAATTCAGTAAGACATTTCTTGGAAACTTGGGTGCATTTTCTTTCAAATCAGTGTTACATAATGGTTGTGTTTCCACATCAGTCCACAAAACCTCTCTTATTTACAGGAAAAACAATAGTGTCTTTGAACTTGGTGTTTTCAATATGTCAGTGTGAATTCTAACTCAAGCTCTGAGTCTAAACCCAGTTTCCTTAGTAATACTACTTCTATATAATTGGTAAAAGTAGTCTTGATAGCTGAGGGAAGATTAGAGTGTTTTGGGTCAAGAGCAGATTATTTGTGAACTGATTGTAAATTAAGGAAATAAAATGTTTAATATTGTAAGTATGTTGCAGTGTCCTATTTGACAACCTGTGTTTGTGTAATATGATCTAACATCTAATTTGAAAAATTATAAAAGAAGCTGTAGAACAATTAATGGTAGTGCCAATGTAAGAATTCTTTGCTCCTGTTCTTTGTTGAATAATGTACTGTGAAACACATAAAATCTAATGAAAAGCAGGGATAAAGCTTTTAGAGGGTAGTAGTGTAAGTGGTACAGTAGTATGACTTCTGTTTGGATTGTGTTTAGCCTGACTCTCTGATTTACTCTACTGGGTTTAATAATATACTCAGAACCTTATAAAGGGTAAAAAGTACTCAACTCCCTTAAGCTGATAACTTTTTATATGTACTACAGCTTTGGAACACTGTGAAAATTGCCTTCTATCCTTTTCTCAAATGATAACCCTTTTCTTTAATTAGTTCTTTACCATTTCATTTGTTCCATGTTCTTTTTTTTTTTTTTAAGCTAATCATTAGAACATTGTTTTTTTACTAAGATACTTTTGTGATCTCAGTACATGTGTAGGAGGTGACCTATCAGTGTCTCAGTTTTGGTAAAATTAGCAGTTTCCTTTTCTAGGAACATCTTTGTTTCAGTAACAATTGGAGATGATATGTCCATGAAATTCAAGGGGAATATTGATGTGGGGAAAAAACAACAACAACAACAAAAACCAATCTGTGGGCAGAATTCCAACAACAAGTCTAAGTGGTTGAGAATGAATTTGTTTAAAAAGTCATCAGTTTGGTGATTACATTAATTTTTGACATTTGAGAGAATCATTTTAATAGGGTATTAGAAATTATAGGGGACCTCAAATTCAATGGTAGCAGAAAAGAAGCTGATACTTCATTTAAGGAAAATGGTAAAAGAAGGAGGACGTACCATGAGTAGAAGGGACAGCAGAATCAAAGGAAGGGTGGTTTTTATTTTGTTTTACAGGTAATGTATGGGCATATTTGAAGGTTAAAGGGCAGTTTTAGGTAAGGAGTTGCAGACTGTTCAGGATAAGAATATATACTTGACAAGTCCTTTGAGAAGTGGTGTGGGATAGCATTTAAGGCATTGGTAACAATTAGGTTTGGTGACCAGGAGAGCTGTCTGTGAGCCTAAAAGAAAAAGGTCTTAAGAGAGATGGGTAGATGTAAAGGCAGGTATGTTGATCTGGTATTTCTTTGTACAGCAAGTTTGGAGTGAAGCCATATGCTGAGATAAACAGGGGAAGGATATTATTGGAAGCTTAGAGAAAGAGGTCTGAAACTTACCATCTTGTTCTAAGGAGACAATAAGATGATAAGTGTAAATAAAGATGGCAAACCAAGTCTAAGGACAAGCTGTAATTGAACCTGTGAATTTTTAATTATCCAGGTCTTTGCTGTTTTGATATAAATTTCTCCAGTTGTGCTTAAGAGCAAGAGTAGAAATTGTGGAAGAGGAATATTAAAACAATTGAAGTAAGAGACTTCATAGTAAGTTAAGGGAGTTTTTTGATATTCCAAAAAATGTTATTGGTGTAAAAGAAATGTAAGGTAGGAGAAGGATAATAGAGGAAGAGAGAAGCTAGAATGATTAAAACAAGAATGGATAAGTTTAATAATTTGAGACAAAGGTGACTGAAGAATTTATGGTGTCAGAAGAAAAGTGGAAGTCTTTGATATTGCAAAATGTCTTGTCATTCATTCACTGTGTTGACAGAATTCAGGAAGTGACTGTTTTGGTGCTGGCTGTTGGAGATGAGTATTAAGTAATGAACGGGAAGATACTTTCTTAGATATGAAATGGAAGTTGCTGAGGATTGTAATCAAAAGATTACACAGAGAGTGAGAATAAGTTTTAAAACCATGTAGAAAGTTGGACTTTGAGGAAGACAGTAGTGATTATAGACAAATGGTTTGGAACATCAAATTGTGAGAGTTAGAGGAAAGATACCAGGCAGTACCAAGACTAAAGAGAGTTGTGAATTTTCTTTCTTCCTGCCTACCATTCTTTCTGCCATTGAATTTGAGAATTGAATAATTTCTCAGGGAAAGATAGAAGGAATAAAGTTCTCTAGGAGAGTCAGTTTACTTAGGTGAGGAGATGGAATTTGAAAATAGATTTGCACCATTGGGGTGGAATCTTATATCCAGTGGAACAGTTAATTTCATGAAGAAAAAGATGAACAGATATTCTGCATATTGTGTTGGTAGAGATTCTTATAAACTCTTTATTTGGGCTAGTTGGCTGGCTTATTATCTAATATTTGTAGGAAAGTGCCCAGTAGAAAAAAACCTTGGTTAGAGGTTTGATGCCGTTAGTAGAAAAGTAACTTAGTGAATACCAATGCTTAGTACCTACAGTTGTATATGAAGGATGGCATATATTAAAATCCCTTGTGGTAAATGGCAAAGGCCATTATATATAGCCTAACATAATTGTTTAGCACACATAATCCTTTGAGAGTCTAGGTGGGTGGAATGAACTAGTAGGTGAGTAATGATAATAAATCAGGGTGTTTTTTTTTACCAGATTGTTCAGGCCTCACCTGTCATAAAACATTTTATCCCCAAGCAGTGTGTATTAGGAAGTGTAGACATTGCACCATAGCTTATTTTTGTAGACATCCTCTTTACAATCATTTCTCCTATTCATCTTCAAACTTGTGTAGGGTTGACTTCAAGGCAACAGGTTTTCTTCTCTTAGTAAACTACAGTTTTGTGTTTGAATCTATTTTATCAACTTGGGATGTACAGTATAAGTTGTAGTGTGTACAGTTGCTTTAGATGTAAGCTTTGATCAAGTAAAAATACTCTGAATTTAGGGGGGATGCTTATTTGAAGTTTTTAGTATCAGTTTAAATTCTGGATTTTTTTTTTTAAATGCACTTTTAATGATAGAACTTTTTTTTTTAACTTTAATGTGAAGAAATACAGATAACATAAAATGTACCATCTTAACCATTTTTAAGTGTACAGGTGAACATTGTTATGTATATTCACATTGTTGTGCCTCCAGTCTCCAGAACATTTTCATCTTGCAAAACCGAATCTCTATACCCATTAAACTGAAACTCTTCCATTTCTCCCTCCCCACCACCCCAGCAGCTACCTTCTGTCTCTTTGACTATTTTTTTTTTTTTTCCTTTTTTTGTCTTTTTTTCATGACCGGCAACGGATCGCAACCCTCAGTGTCACTCCCATACCGGACCAGGACCGGCAACGGGATCGCAGCCCTCAGTGTTGCGCCCGCACCTCGCTCAGCCAGTGAGTGACCGGTCTGTATGTGGGATCCGAACCCTCGGCGGGAGCGCTGCCGCGCTCCCAAGCAGCGCACTGTAGCAGTGCGCCACCAGGCCGGCCCCTCTTTGACTATTTTAAATAACTCATATAAGTGTATTCATACAGCATATGTCTTTTTATGAGAGGCTTATTTCACTTAGCTTAATGTCCTCAGGGTTTATCCATGTAGTAGAATGTGTCAGAATTTCCTTCCTTGTTCAGGTGATTAATATTTGGATTGCTTCTGCCTTTTGGCTCCTGTGAAAATGTTGCTATGATCATGGATGTACAAATCTGTCTTTGAAACTCTGCTGTCAATTCTTCTGCATATATACCCTGAAGTGAAATCACTGGGTCATATGGTAATTCTGTGTTAAATTTTTGGAGGCATTACCGTACTGTTTTCCATAGCAGTTGCACCGTTTTACATTCCCACCAACAGCGCACACAAATTCCAATTTCTCCACATCCTTGCCAACATTTGTTATTTTCTGTTTTTTTTAATAGCAGCTATCCTGATGGGTGTGAGGTGATATCTTATTGTGGTTTTGTTTTGCATTTCCCTAACGATTAATGATGTTGAGCATCTTTTATATGCTTATTGGGCATGTGTCTGTCTTCTTTGGAGAAATGTCTATTCAAGCCCTTTCCTGTTTTTTAATTGTTGTTTTTTGTTGTTGTTATTGAGTTAGAAGTTCTTTATATATTCTGGATATTAACCCCTTACCAGATATATGATTTGCAGATATTTCCTCCCATTCCATAAGTTGCTCTTGCTCCCTGTTGATTGTGTCCTTTGATACACAGAAGGATAGAACTTTTTATTGGGTTATTTTCCAAGTACAACATTTAAGGTTTTTTAAATAAAATGTAATGCTCTTAAATTTTCACTGAATTTACATTTCCGATTATCAGAATCTTGTCTTCACTGAACAGGGATAAAATAGATGTAGCATCAGTTATTCTCTGTATTTTTTAGTTTATCCTTATTCTGTTTT